CTTTTCTCTGGGGGTGCGTCTTGAGGCAGCACAGGGTCTCTGAAGTCTTGGGCCACTTAGGAGTAAGGAGGTTACCCCAAGAACATGGGGTAAGGACTCCCTTCTAAGTGGGCTTCTGATGTTCTGGATGGGGCATGGAGGGGGGGTTCCTATCAATGGGGCTATGGGGCGGACACCCCACCTGAGGGGCTAAGTCCTGAGTGGTTCTGGGTAGGTCTTCCTCAGAGCCCTGGCTGCCCATTGTGAGGTGGTCCAGCTTGCCCGCCAGGTGCTCCAGGCCCTCCCTCAGGATTTGCATCGCCCATATGGCCTGCTTCAGCTCGGCCTGGGCCTTAGCCTTCCGCTGCTGCTCTGCATTGAGGCTACTCTGCAACACGGCCTGCAGCCTCTGTTCACTGCAGAGAACGGAGAGAGAGCTGTGGGAGTGCAGAGGACCCCGGGCCCTCACCCTCTTCCTCCGGCACTGGGACCTCACCTCACTAGCATGGCCTCCCCTGAGTACTTGTGGTCTTCGAGCTCCTGCTGCAGCTGCTCCTTCTCTTGCTTCAGTTTCAGCAGCAGCTCCATGTTCTCATTCTTGAGCATCTCCAACTGCGTGAAGGTGTCGCTCTGCGCCAGGAACCGCCGCACCACCGCCTAGGGCCCACCCAACCCCAGTCAGAGCAAGGGCCTGGACAGGTCCAGCTGCCACCCTCCTCCTGAACCCCAGGGCAAGAAGAGCAGGTGGCTGAGCTGACAGCTTCTGCATAGTGATGCGTAGGGACTCTGAATAGGACTCAGGGCTGCCTCACAGGTGGGTAGCCTGGGACAAATATTTGCTGAGCCCTTCCCTCTCTATATCAGGAATTTGAATCAGCCAAAAATCAGCGTGTGAGGCAGGGTAGCAGTGACCATAGCTTCTTTCCAAAATCAAGGTGCCAGCAACATTCTGGGGAGTGGGGGGGGGAATCTCGCCCAATCCCATGAGGAAATACTGGCCCGCTGCGGGAGCAATCCTGCCACCAGGCCAATTTCTGAAAAGGCACTGGCCACAGTGCCTCAGATGACACCATAGAGCCAAGTCCTGGAACCCTCGGGGGTCATCCCATGAGAAGAATGGAGGGTTGGGGAGTGCCCAAAGTGGGGGAAACAGACTGGGGTCCAGCAGGATCACTGTTTGCCAGCAGGGAACATAGAGTCTTAGAAAATTTCAAGCAAGACATTGCAAAAAGGGGGACCAGGGCAGGGGTTTGGCTTGCCCAGGGACTAGGGTGGCACTGGGGAGTTTGCTGGGCCCTAGACCGTGTTACAGGTGATGGAGACACAGGAGAGACAAAACTCCCAGCTTTCACAGGGCCTCCAGGCCAAAGAAGTCAGTGTCAATGGTGTAAGACTGAACAGGAGAGGAAATGGTGAGTACAGACGGTGTGCATGGGTTCTGTGTAAGGGG